ACCTGAAGGCTAAAGACGATATATGTGCATGTGGGGAGGGGCGGTGCTAATTCACCCTGAGTCCACTTCCCACCCAATCCTCCTAAGTTAGCTTGGACAGAAGAGGGCCAGATGGGGGAGGAAAAGGAAAGAAAAGTCTTCCATTCTTCGTCTCCCATCCCCCAACACTCCGACCACCCCCCCATCTCTTGGGGGGGGGTACGAGCTAAAAGCCCATTAATGTGCAGAGCCCCCCAAACCCTTTTGAATCTCCTCACAGGATGTGAACGGGGTGGGATTTGGCCTGGTTGCTACGGCAACTGCGGTGGGAGTTCCCAGACGCTAGGCAACCCTCCTGTGACCCTCGCTGACCTGTCACCCCCGCAGCCCATGGACAATGGGAGTGCGCGCTCCAGAGGCCCAGGGTGCCTTTCAGGGCAGCGCCAGCAGCTAGGCCTGACCCGCCCTGCCAGCTCAGCCCTCCTGGCCCCTGTCCCCCAACAGTCCCCAAGACCTCCCCAAATCCCATGCACACTTCTCCTAGCCCTCATGGCCTGGTATCGGAGAGCCCCCATCCTGGGGCAATCCTTGCTCACAGGGACATTTTCACACAATGAAATCAGATCAGGATAAGACACAAAAGCACGTCACAGAAAAAAGCCACCATATGGGGAAAGTGCGCGGGGGCGGGAGGGGGCGTTGGCCCTGGTGGAGGAGTGGGGCTGGTGGGCAGTGGTGTGTCTATAGTCAAGCAGCCGTCGGGATCACCCCCTCCAGCTGGCCAGCAGAGCAGGGGCGAAACGAGGTTCGATGTGTTTGCCGAACGACTGAACACTCCTAGGCCTCCCACACTCCCTGGCCTCCTGCTCTATGGGGGGGCGAGAGCCCCAAGGTCAGAGCAGAGGTGGGGTGGCTATGTCACTCACCAATAAGGGGGCTAGGAAGGGGGAGCCAGAAGCTGGAGCCTTGACTGCTGAAATAGGGCAGCCAGCCGGGGACCCTCTCTCTCCAGGCATCCCTGGCCCAGAGCCGGGATGGAGCACCCCCACCCTCTGTTTAAGTTAGCTCCCAGCCTAGGCCTGCACATTGCATGGAAGCAAGCGGCTGCTCTGCTTCCAAAGTGACGTGGCCACCCTCTTCAGCACTGTTTATTTCAGCCTCAAGTCCTGTCACCAGCCTGACTTCTGACTGGCCCTGTTTCTCTCTCCCTCCTCTGTCAACTCATGACTCCCAAAGGCCAGGACTGCAGTTTCAGGGCTTGTTTACAGATGGATGGACAGGAGAGTGGTTTGGAGGCCCAGGAAGGCACCAGGAAGACAGATCCAATATGGTGTCCACGGACCCACTCGCAGTTGGCATCAGAGGGGCTGTCAAAGACCAGTGGGCAGTGTCACTTCATTGTCTTAAGAGCCCTTCAGGTTGGAATGAAGTGCCCCCATTTACTTCCCATTTATTTGGCAACTACTATATTCAAGGCTTGCTCCGTTTCCCGTAGGGGACTGCATGGATAGGGCAGGAACTGAGCGCTAAACTAGGCACTGAGAAACTGAGGCTTAGCACAACCCTCACTGTGTCCTGGACAAGTCCATGCCTACCTCCGGCTGCCTCACCTCTGCAATGGGAATAACGATGACCTACCAGGGATGCTGAGGTGAAGTAGGGACACAGGGAATATGAAAGACCCAAATGCCACACAGACAAAAAGGCATCTGCCTGTCTCATGCGGCCAGCAGGTGGCATGGTGGTTAAGGCACTGGATTCCCACATGCCTAACTATGGTTAGAGCCTTGGATCCAGCAGCTTGAAAGTCCTGCCAGGCATGTATGCATGCATGCCTAAAATCCCCAGAGGCAAAAGAGAATGGATTGTGGTGTGGCCATTTGCCCCCCCCACCCTGCCCCGGGGGAGAGGTGATTTCTCACTTTCCCTCGACCTCCCCACAGCTAGCACACATACCCTATGGCAAAATCCTAAAAGGAAAAAAAAATTTAAAGGCATCTGCTGGAACAAGCAGACAGTGTAATGGTTATGTAGTTGGACTCCAACATAGTAGACCATAGTTCAAGTCTTGAACCCAGTGGCTTAAAACTCACACTGGGTGCAAGTGCATGCATGCCCAAGATCCCGAGAGAATGAAGGGATTGTGCCATGGCCATCCCCCCGGGTGGATGATTTCCTGCTTTCTGTCTCTGGGGCAAGTGCATGTGACCTAGAGCAAAACTCTCTAAATAAATAATTTTTTTTTTAAAGCCATCTGCCTATCTTATAGGACTTTCAGGTTGAGGTTAAGAGGGAGGAGGACCCCATGGAGGTTCTTATGTTTACTCCACAAATAGGTACAATTTTGTTGGGTTCCTGAAAGTACCCCTGAAGTTCCCCCAATAGCCTTGTTTATATATTAGGGTTGGAAGAGTGGCCCGCACCTTTTCATTTTAATTGAAAATCTTGTCATTTTAATTTTGCAAGATTCTTTTCATAATCTGAAGCCAATGAAACCTTTTTAAAGTCTCAAATATGTTCCTTGGCCCTGGGCACCGTGCCCACAGTGAGCCCAAATGGATAAAACAGCACTGAGCCTGCCTCCAAATGCCCGCCCCAGTTTATTTGTGAAACAGATAGAGGATTTTCCAGGACTTTGGGATCTTCCCCAAAACAAACAGGAGTAACTGGAACGTGGAATATAGATGGTAAAACACAGCTCATGTGCAGCGCACAACCGAGAAACCTGATCGGTACAGAGAGTTCTGTCTTTCCCTGCCCCAAGCATCTCCCCAGTTATCCAGAGGTCTGTGTTCGCTCTTCACATTAAGTCATTTTTTAAAGACATTTTTTATTTAGCTTTATTTATTTATTTATTTGAGTTTGACCAGAGACAGACAGAAAGAAAGAGAGAGGGAAAGCAAGAAAGCAAGCTGCCAGGTCCGGGACCCGAACCGTGGTCAGCCATGTGGGAGTCCAGCACCCTTAACCACCACGCCACCTGCCGGCCCCTGTCATTTTTAAATAGAAACTTTCTAGCGTCAGTATCTCTTCTACTCCCTCTACATTCAAATTTTGCATAGCTCTGTCTGCTTAGGTGTGGGAGG